TTTTGAACTTATGTTTTAAATCAATCAAGTAGTAATTTTGAGTATTTTTTGGGGAGAGATTAATTCCAGTGCATTGATGTTGATTAGTCTTGTCCATTAAATTTCATTAATTCTCATTTTATTTTAGGTCATTATGTATCCCGAGATTTTAGGGTAATATTGGCCATTTTAAACTTACAATTTAAATCAATCAATTAATAATAATTAATAATAATTGGAGAGTAGTTTTGGGAGGGATTAAATTTGATTAGTCCCGTTTTCCATTTTGAACTAATTAGTTTTTAAATATAATTTGTTAAACTTATAATTATAGAAAATTTGAAGGACTTTAGTATAATTGTGTAAAGTTATATTTGAGAAATGCCTTACAAAATTGCCACATAGGATTTTCACCTCTAGAATTCTTTTTTGTTTTCTCTCTCTGGTTTTTCTTTTAGTATAATACTAATTCCTCCACAATGAACTCCATCCAAATTAATAAAAAAAAATCTTTTAGTTTATAGCTAGCCGCAATGTCCAGCGGTTGTGGCTGGAAAATGTGGAACTTTTTATTTTTTATTTTTGAGAATGAGTTGGATGGAGAGTAAACTTTTTTCAATTAAAATTAATTTCAATTTTGTTTTTGTTTTGGCAGAGCAAACTTTTGTTAGATTGGAGTTGGTTGATGGAGAATTCTGTTATGTTCAAGGTAATTTTAGCATTGATTGATTTTTTAATTTATTGTTATGCCAAAATCAGTTTTGAAACACGAGAAGGTCTGGGTTAGTGCTTATAAAATATAACAATTTGTGTTTGATGGCAACTATGTACCCTAAGTAAATGTGATCGGTTCCTCAAGTCAATGGAGTTCTAAGATTATATTTATCCAAACTCCAATATTAATTGGTATTCATGAACAATATTATTTTACTTCTTTGTAAATTTGAGATTTTTATTCTTTTTTATTTTATAGAGTTTCAATCTTTTTAACAGGAACAAATTTACAAATTTCGTCGAATTGGATGCACCAATGTCGAATAATCTCTCGATAGGCAAATCGGCGCAAAGCTACATCTTTGTGTATTTTAAGAAAATTGATGATTCGAAAGCCGCCTAAAAAAAGTTTTGCAAATGGTTTGTGTTCTTTTGAGTCGAACCTGTTTTGGCGTTGTTTTTATATAATTATTACTACTAATATAAATTTGTTTAATTTCTCTAAAAAAACTATTACAATATATTGGCTAACATTTTATTAACGTTGTGATTTGTGATTTTTAGTTTAACTCTTGCATATATGGGATTGGTTTGAACTGTTTTGGACAATCATGAGAACATATGAAAAATGCTCAAAAAAATTCTCATGGACAAACACTATTATTACTTTAGTTTTTCATTAATAAAATTGTTGTCGGTATTCTAAATTTAGAGCCAAAAAATGTCACTACTCCAATTTTACTTTTTGATTCCCTGCTGCTTCTCTTCTCAGAGACATGTATCAAGTTTGAACGAGGAGATTGATTTCTTTCGAGACATGTATCTAAGTTATAAATTTTGTAATGGGTTTTTCTTTTGTCTGTGGAGTACATATTGATTTCTTTATTTATATGCTTTGAATATGTAAATTATTTCAGTTTATATTAAAGAAACATGGAAACAAATTAAATGGTCACTATAATATGAAAGCTCCTATTCTGCATTTTTGGTCAACTGCTACTTCTAACTCATTTGTTTGAAATCCGGTTATATGTCATTGCTCCCAAATTATCAAAACTCAAAAGAAAAATGGCAAGCTCATTATAATCGTTTCTCGATATTTGGTAGCTTTTGTTATTCTTTCGGCACCCCGAGACTGATTTGTACACTATTTTTAAAATAAACAATGAGATATAATTTGTTCTCTAATATAAACACCTTTATATGGCAAAAGTTTTCTACAGCATAAACCTATACCAATTCTCATAGCATTTACCAAGAGTAAATACAACTTGGTCCCAAGGAGTTTATCCAATTACTAAGTTAGGGTGTTAGTAAAATTTTAAAAAAAGAAATTAATAATTGAATACAAAAATATAATAAATTTTATGTGGTGGTTTCATATAAAGAGATTTAATTTTGATTACCATAATGACACTTATATATGGTTGTTGATGATTTCATACATGATTAATTATATGTGTGAAAGATTTCATATGAAATATTTCCCTTAATAAATTTATTCTGTTTGCATAATGTGGCTTAATTAATTGAGAATACATAAATTAACGATTTTATAATCACTCGAAGAAAGCCAAGGCAAAAAAGAAAAAAATTTAAGTTTGTCGATCAGCTAGATTGAATAAGGATTAAAATTTTACTTTATGATTAACATGTACTGCCTATAGGGTTTAGTATATTCGCTGCCCTTTTTTTCATTTATAATTTTTTTTAAAATAACGATTTCACATGTAGGCCCCACAAAATTTTTCCGAAATAATTGGCCCAAATATGAACCATAATTTCGTTATAATATATAGCTACTATTAATCTGCATTAATGTAATTTTTTGAGCATCAAGTTTCATTAATAGTGTCTTATTACAGAGATATTTTGTTATTTTTGTAATAAGAAAAAATGACAGAAAATAAAGAATTGACAAAAAAGAATGGAAAGAATTTTGAAATTAATCGTGAAATTAATGGATGATTTGATAAAATTAATCATTCACGAATAATCCACTCATTGTAGCAATTAGACATGTCAATTTGTGGTAAAAATTTATGTAAACTTGGAAGTTACGAAACCATTAATATTAAATTAGATCTATTAAAAGATGAATTGGAACGAGATGATTTGGAAAGGTTCAACTAAAAAAATATTTTTTTACACAAATACAAAATATATGATTTTTATGGCTATATAAATACGTGTATGATTTTGTTTTAATGCTCAATAAAATTTCAAGAAATAGGATCAGTTGGAAGGGTTTATTACATGGTGAAAAATCTCCTACGCTATAATCCTACACCACTTTCTACATCATTTACCAAGATTTTAACACCGAACCCCAACAGGTTCATCCAGATGGGTTAGAGTGTTAGTAAAATTTTTTAAAGAATGAAAGAGATAATTAAATAGAAAAATGTAAGAATACTATATGGTGGATTAGGAAGTGTTGTGGGAAATCCTTAGTCTTTTTATAAGATGAATGGGAATGCGATTATTTGGAAAGGTCAAATTAAAAATAAATAATTTTAACACAAATATAAAATTTATTATTTTCTATGACATATAAAATGCACGTATGTTTTGTTTCAATTACTAGATGCTTAATTTTACTTCAATAAAAAGAGTTACTTGTGGAGGATCTATTATAAGATGATTTGGAACTGGATGATTTGGAAAGGTCTAACTAAAAATATAACTTTTAACACAAATACAAAATATATGATTTTTATGGCTATATAAAATGCGTGTAAAAATTTATTTTAATTACTCAATAATATTTCAAAAAACAGGATCGGTTGGGAAGGGTTTATTAAAAGGAAAAAAATCTCCTACACTATAATTCTACACAACTTCCTACATCGTTTACTAAGATTTTGACACCGGACCCGACGGGTTCATCCAAGAGTGGGTTATGTTAGTAAAATTTTTTAAAGAAGGAAAGAGATAATTAGTAGAAAACTGTAAAAATATTATAAGGTGGATTAGGAAGTTTTGTAAGGAATTCTTAGTCTTTTTATAAGATGAATGGGAATGAAATCATTTTGAAAGGTCTAATTAAAAATAAATAATTTTAACACGAATATAAAATTTATTATTTTCTATGACATATAAAATGCATGTATAATTTGTTTCAATTACTAGATGCTTAATTCTACTTTAATAAAAAGAGTTACTTGTGGGGAGTCTATTACAAGATCAATTGGAACGGGATAATTTAGAAAGTTCTAACTAAAATTTTTTTTTAACATAAATACAAAATATATGGTTTTTAATTGAAATTACATGAGTTAGTAATTTGCAGGAAAGTAGATTTCTATTACTTTACTGTAGTTATTTGAAGGAAAGATCATGCATTGGTGATAACTGTGAAAATAATCTATATTATTATATAATAAAGGAGAGTTGATCATTGAATACTCGACTAGCCCTTCAATAGTTTTAATTGACATGTGTGAAGGTGTTAATTTATTATTGACTCGTCATTAAATCATTAAAATTTTATATAAAATAGCTAATCCGTTTCACCTTTAACTAATTAAGGTCTTGAATGAGCAACTATTTGGATTTTTTTTACTCATGAATGTAAATAATAGTATTTGCTCATGAATGTATTTTTTTTTTATAAAATTTATAGCACTCGCAACACGGGGCCAAATACTAGTGTTTCTTAATCATCCATCAAGTTCTTTTGGGTGAAATTTAGATTTCATTTCCAATATCACGGTTGGTGCAAAAGCAAATAGAATGTCATCATCTAATTTATTTACTTCATATAGACTAATTTTCTAAGAATGGTTTTAAGTGTGTTTTTCCATAAAAAAAAATTTAAAACAAGTGTATAAAAATTTTTAAAAAGATATATTAAAATAAGATATTTATGAAGAAAAATTTCTCTGAAAACCATAAAAAACCAACCAAACAAAGCAAGTTTCTCAAATTTAATTTTATATATTTTGTACTCTTTATTAGTTAGGAGTGTAAACGAGCCGAGTCGAGCCGAGTTTACCCCTGTTCGAACTCGGCTCGAGTGAAATTATATTAATCAACCTTTTCGTTTTCGTTCAAAATTAAAAGAAGGCGAAAAGCGTGTCAACGTCATCACTGAAGCCAAACGGCCAACCCAAACCACCGCCATTTTCAGAGTAATAGACTTGATTTGACATTAACCCACACTACTACCTTTTTAACTTTTTACTGTGTAATTTTCGCGCCATTCATCACCGAATAGTAGTACTCTTTTTGTGCATTTACTGTGCCCTTGTAATTCTGAATCTCTCTGTTTTGCTACACCAGAAGCAGAGCGTTTGATTGAGAGCATGGAACCTCCTGGTTAGTGATGAACTCTTTGTTTTGTCCAAGTTTTCAACAACGATTTACGTTTGTTAAATTTAAATTTCCCCCAATTTTTGCAGGGTTTCCAAAGGCGTTTCTCGATGCTGCATTCCTGGGAAATGTGGAAGTGATTGAGAGTAAGTACTGTTCAGATATTTAGCTTTCGTTTTTTTTCTTTTTTTTCCCCGTCTTGGGGGGTTCAATTTTGAGTTTTGTGTAAATCTGGTAATAAGGGTTTATTTTGGCTAGGGTTAATCGCTGAGGTTGAAAAAGTTGATGGGAAGATTTCATATGCAACTCTGAAGACACCCGAGGAGGGCTGCAACGCTCTTCACTTGGCTGCTGCTCAAGGGAGGACTCAGATGTGCAGAGATCTGATTCGTAATTTGAAGTTTCATGACATCAATGCCAGTGATGATTCTGGTACCGCGTTTTTTTTATTTATTTATTTTTTTCCCACTGAATCTTGATTTTGGTTAAAAGTCTGAACAAGATGAAGTATGATGACATTTTCTTTAATGACATTTTTCAATTGTGTACTGCTTCTCACTGGCTTGATATATTTGCAGGTAGAACACCCTTAATCCAAGCAGTTTTGTGGAAACATCGGCGTACGGTTGATTTCCTGATTGACAATGGCGCAGATGTCACGAAAGGGACCTTGAAAGGGTACACCCCATCGCATTGTGCTGCTGAAAAAGGTCTCGTTTTTTATTCCTTACGTAGAAATTTTTTTTTTCTTCTCATTGTTGCTACTCTATAAATGATATTTTTGGTTATGTAGCCCTGCTGTTACTTACGTAAAGCTACTTTCAGGTTCCAAGGAGTTGATTCAGCTCTTGATCTCTAAGGGTGCTGATTTAAATGCATTTGCTGAGCCTGGGACACCGCTGCATTGTGCTGCAGCTCATGGAAGTTTTGAAGCAGTAAAGTACTTGTTGGATCTACGGGCAGATGTATGCAAAACACCATCCATTATCATATTATTACTCTTTGTTTCCTCTTTCATTTATTTAATTTATTTTCTTTCTTTATGGGTATTCCACTATCTCTGAATTTCATGTCTTAGACTCCTGAGTCCTGAATTTGTTTGATCTTTGAGGTTTTGAATCTTTTAGTAAAACTGTGTAGTTTTGGACTTGAGGCATCTACTTTTGGCAAATCGTGGACTTGGTCTTTCTATTTCCTTGTCTGACTCTTTGAAGAACTTTTTAACCTAGGAATACATGCCTGTTACTGTTTAGCCAGAAAAAGTACTTTAGTTTCTGTCTAGATCTATTTGTGGAATTTCAATTCTTGAATCAATTGTTAAATACTTTGTGAAGTAACATCTCACTTTTCCTGGTGCAGCCAAATTCTCTTTCGCTTGTTTATATGTCTCCACTCTTGCTCTCGATGCTAGCTAACTCACTTGAGTGCATGGAACTGCTTCTTAAGGTGTGCTCTTTTTCTTGTGTGCTTTCTGACCCAGATGGAGGGAAGCTTTACTAGCTACAAGTATTACATTTCTTCTTCTTGTGCATTCATCATTTGCAAAATACTGTATGCTCTTTGCACTTACTCAGTGTGCACTATTTGAACCCTTACCTCTACCAAAACTGAAAAGGCTTGTCAAAATTGAGGAAAATATGCATTTAAAAATAGTCTTCTTAGTGCTTCTCCTGCTTGAAAGTATTTGATGTTTTCTAATCATTAGATATGAAATGTTGCATGTGCAAAATGAGGAAATGCATGTTTAGGACTCAGATATTTTGACCGGTTTTATATAATTCAACAAGGACTATTTTTGAATGGTCTGGGTTTCCTGCCCGTTCTTGAGTGATGGTGGATTAGGTTTATGAAAGGATTTAACCTGAAAGCTTTTGACACAGCCCTGTAGCATTATCAGATATTGGGCTGAGCACATTCGATCATACACTCCTTTGATCACATGGTTTGAAAGTGCTGACTTATTAAGGAATGATGGCACACCTTCTCATTCTCCTCGTAGAGAAAATTGGAAGAAAACTTTTGCAAGTCCTTTGCTGTTCCCACCCTTGGTTTTTATTTCTAATTAACTAATGAGCTCTAATGCCTGCTTTTGTTAGGCAGTGGGCCTATTAGTTTTGATCTGTAAATTTCATGACAGGCCGGAGCTGATCCAGATACACCTGCTGGTGATACTACGCCTCTTTGCTATGCTGCTTCTGAACCTAATGAGAAGATGATTCATATTTTGTTAAAAGCTGGTGCGGATCCTGACAGGATTGATTGTGTGAGTTACCTTTCTACTCAATGTCGCACTTCCTTGTACATTTGTTTCTTCATTCCTTTGAGAAATGTATATCATACACCTTTACGCCTTTTGCAGAATACCGCTGACGTTAGTTGTTGATTCAATTAAACACAACACTCTCTTTTTTTTCCCTCAGTTTCTTTTAAAGCTAAAGCGGGATAGAGGCCCTATAATTTGCCTGTTATCAAATTTTTTAACTTTCTGAGCTTTCTTGATGTATTAGAGTTTGTGTTTCTACAGTTGTTTAGTTATGCTTTTTTCATAGAAAACTTAACCTTGGTTTCGGTGTAAGTAGTTATCATTCTGTGTCTTCTCCTCCCCTTTGAATTTGTTTTATTTTCTTCTGAAATGATTGAGTGACCATTTTGGAATATGTTGCCCCATACTCTTATTGCCATTTTAGATGATTGAACCTGATGTACTTCTATGATACTTTATGTAATGCAGTCGGGTACAACAGCCATTAGAGCATGCAGCACTTATTGGTGCTACTGAGGTGGTTAAGGTTCTGTTTCCAGTTACTTCTCGCATTACATGTTATCCTGATTGGAGCATTGGTGGAGTAATGCAATATGTTCGTTCAGGCAAAGCCTCTGCCCAGGTATCAGTACCTTGATGTCCTTATCCATGCAATATGCAATATATGTACATTCTTTGATGGTTTTGCTTTCATGTTAGTGCGTCATGACTTGTTCCATTTTCTTATACGTATATTATTATTATTCATGGAGACTTCTGCTGAATACTAGTATCACTTAAAAATTGAGTACACATTCTCGACATCATCATGAATTCATGATTTAGTAGTTTTCTGAATCAATCGTGTCTACCCTTTTGCTTGCTCTGTGTGGCAGAGGAAGATAAAGCAGAAGTTGATCTTTGACTGGGGAAAAGGAAAGGTATGAGAGGCGGTTGCAAGAAAAGATTACCTGGATGCAGTATATTGGTATTCACAGGTGATTTCTGTAATTTTTATTACGATTACGGGGTTTTTATCTATGTTGAAGTTACTTCGATGTGATGCTGTGAATGATGCATAAATGTCCCTGTCAATTACTACTTTGGAAAGGAATGATGGGTGTCTTAGCTGGCCTTTGGTTCTATTATTGAATCTTTATTTTGTGACCTTAACACTACGTATATGAATTGCATCATTTGTTTCTAACCAAGAGTTCAATTTATTTGAGAGGCCAGGCAAGCCAGGCTGATCCAGTTGATGCAAAAGTACTTTCAAATAGGAGTTTTTGCTGGACCCAACTAAATGAAGGTGATCCTGCTTTTACTGGATACACAGTCTTGTGTTGCACTGGAGCCGAGATGGGTGAAGGCACACTTTAGGGAAGGCGCTGCTTGGAAAGTTCTCAAGGTTGGATTCTGAAGTGGATATCTTCTTATGATAAAATGATTTTGGATACTTGAGGAATTACAAAGGCCTAAAGACATTCTACTGTGTGCAGAAATATGACAAGGCAGCAGAAGCATTTTCTCGGGCTTTGGCCCTTGACCCTGGTAACAAGGAAATAGAGAAGGCGTACGGGTACTTTATATGCATCTGATGATATGCTGGCAGTTCGTTTTCACAACTTAGAATTTCTTCATTTTGTGATTTCTGTTCTGCTTTAGTCCTATATCCAATGGCTTTCTGTGTTCTCTCTCCACTTGAAGGATGTTTGCATTTTGTTTAGTAACTCGATATATCTTGATGACAGGGATGCACTTGGTGAATGTTACAAGGCCAGCCGTTAGAATGCTGAACAGGCTTGAAAACAATGAATTCGTAGCTGAATATTTTGTGGGGAAGGAAGATGCCTTAGTTTAGGTTGCTTGAATTTGTAAAGCACTCCCATCTTGGTTGGTAGGAGACATTAGTATTAACGTGACAATCTTACCCAGACTGGCCCCAAACAGAAGCCATAGCTCTGTTTGGATCGTCTTTTCAGCCTTGTTGCTTTTTGATGTGTATATAGTACATATAGAATGACATTTCCTTTGGGGCATCCTTGCTTCTTGGTTTTTTTTGGTTGTTTGGATCTTGTTAAAGATTGTGGGGAGTTCTTAGGAGTTTCTCGTGTGCTTTTATTTGAATTATGATGCCGGTATCCAAGGGTTTATCGTGTGTCGATCGTCATGGTCCTCATTTGCGTAAGGACGGCAGCATTACAGTTTTCATGCGGAAATGAACTGAATAGAGCGGTATATCTCTCAGAGGTTTCCCCATCTTTTGAGCATTGGGGGATCGAAGGCAAAAACACTTAAAAGCCTGAAACACGAGCGGGGAAAACTGGGAGATGATTTTGTCAGACTTGGACCAACTCAACACAAAAAAGGTTTTCAACATGAATTTCCTCAAAGGACGAGTGGGTAATGTTCACGATCTTAAATAAATTGGTACAATAACGTAGTGTTATGTGCTGTCTCACCAATGCTTGTGATCCTTCCTAGTCAAAACTGAAATTTAGGCTTTGTTCAGATTGTAATATAGAGTGCCTTAATAATAATAATTTTATTACAAAAAACAGAAAATACTTATTGGTATTGGCAGTAAGGTAAAGTATTTTGTATTCCGAAATATGGGCATTTTTTCTTTCGAGAAGGTACAAGATATGATTGACAAAATTTGTTTGAAATTGAAATTAAAAAGAGTAAGTTTTTTTTTGGTACAATAAAAAAGAGTAAGTTAACTATTAATAAAACATTTTTTTTTAACAAGATAAAACATGAATTAAATAAACAATATATAACTCCCTCTGTCCCTAAAAAAAAAATAGTTTACGTCAAATTTTAAAATTTGTACTAAAACTAGTACAAATTCAAAAACTTAAAATCAACTACATTTTTGGGACAGAGGGTAAAAAAATGTCCCAACGATAAACCTGTAGGCTGTGGCGACTAGCATGTAAATACTTCGTAAACTAGTAGTAAGATTCAAAAAGACTTGTTGTCACCTATACTATAAAAAGAATTAAGGGTACTGCTTCTTAATTACGTCAAATTTGTCTTATAACATTTCGTCAAGAATATTTGCTACTATTAATGTCGCAAACATATTGTAATAGCCTATGACATTTATGTTTGATTTCTGAAATGTGCGCAATCCTTATTCTTTGTTTCTATATAATACTCCTTCAGGTCCTTATTATCATAAGATGTTTTTGATTTGTCCTAAACTTTAATCTAGTAAGTTTTTCTAATTAAAAATAAAAATTTTTAAAAAATATTTTCATATTTATTTTGTTCTCTTTATTATTATAAAATATTTTTAAGGTTTTATTTTTAATTACAAGAATATGCTAAATTAAATTTAAGACAAATCAAAATGTCTTATAATAAAGAGCGGAGGAAGTAATTGTTTCTAGGTTTGGTGAGCCATCAGCTGCTCTCAAACTGTAAGTTGTTAAGCTAGAGTTTGTCACATTTTTTAAACAGTTTATTTTGTGAAGAATCAATATAAATTATGAGTTTTCAATTATCATAAACACCTACTCATTTTACTCACGCTAAAGGTTCGGTAACTTTTGTTACTACTTTCTTTTCTCAAAATAATTATCTAATTTGAATTTTTAATTTTCGTATAATTTGAACCAAAAATGAAAATCTAAACTAGATAATTATTTTGGGACGAAGTGAGTATAAGTTAATCAATACTATTTGTTTGCTTTAGCTTGGATTACTCGGTTTTGTCTTAAGCATGTCGATTGTTTTTCGTTTTTTATTTCTATGACGGAACAAAGGAAAAAAAAAATAAAATTAAATGGTTCGCTGCACAGTAGCTGGAATTTCTCTATTAGAGTACTCTATTTGTTTGTTTTGTGTTCCATGTCTTGCTAAACACATCATTGCATTGCATCTCACGTTGAACAAATATATATATATATATATATATATATTTTTTTTTTTTTCTGGCAAACATATATTGAAAATAATTAATTGTCTTCTAAGGAAACATGGCTCGATTTACTGCGTTAGTCCTTTAGATAGATATCCATCAGCTTCAGCCATGTGTTTATTCCCCCTCAGCCACAAGTAGCAGAAATATGCCATTGACAGGTAATCTGGAACAGTAAATAATGTTTGATCCTTGAATTTGATTCTTGTATTCGAGCTAGATTTCCATGAATCGAAATAAATAGGGCCACTAATAAACTGGTTCCTTTTAGTTTAATTAAGAAGCGAGGAACCTTCAATTAACTTGCTGAAATCAAATTTGTTATTGTATCCCTTCGGTATGTTTAAAGCCCATGGATTTTGGTTTTCATGGCTGGTATGCTCTTTGTCATCGTATTAGGGGTTTTTTTCCCCCTCATATTTTCTGAAATTCTAAAAAGAAGATTACTCGGGAATCAGGGCTTCGCGGTGGTTTGTTATGTTTTAGCCTTGTACAAGAAGTGATTGCACATAGTAGAATCCTCTCGCCCGGAGAAAACATTTTTTTTTTAAAGAAATCAAATCCACAATCTTCTAACTAAGAATCTTAAAATTTGCATTTAATTAAATTGAAAAGCTGAACACTAACTTACGATGAATTTTATCAAGGAAAAGCTTGCAATTTCCATTTTAAGTCTGTGAGATTTTTTTTTTCCTTTTTCTAAACAGATCAAAGCTGTTAAAAAAGAAAAAAAAAACTCATTGGAAAAATACATTCACTATAACAAAAAGTCTCTTTGGTGACATGTATATTGAGGCATTTTAAAGTAAATGCCTAGAAAAATACTCCCTCTGTCCTAAAATTATTGTCCAGTTTGAGATTTCACTTTTAGTACAATTTGAACTAAAAATGAAAACTCAAAGTAGACAATAATTATGGGACGGAGGGAGTATGAGTTGCTAAAACACTGGGATCAATTTACCTTAATAGCAGCCCTAATACGGTATTTAGTTTTTAAAAAATTAGGTTAGTTTTTCATTAATCAAACAGAAAATAAATAAATGGAAAGAGAAATTTTTCCTCACACTAGCAAATGATACTAAAAAGTGTCTCAATTACTCAACCTATCATGACAAGGGTCTGTACCACACAAATAAGCAATGTTATTAAAAGTCGATTGCCACTATAACATATATTACCTCCGTCTCAAAATAGTTCACATTGAGTTTTCAAATTTGTACACGTTGAGTTTTCAAATTTGTACTAAAAACAGTACAAAAATCAAAACTCAATGTGGACTATTCTTTTGGGACGGAGGAAGTATTTATAAGGCATTTTTTAATATCAAGAAAATTCATTTTTCTTGTAGTGATTAGTGTGCAATATACGGGCAAAAAGCTAGTTGAAAGTTGACACGAATCAGACTTGAAATCATTTTGAAAAAAAATCAACGATGATAACAATTTCATTTCTGATAAAAAACTAGAAACACAAATCTTTTCAAGAAAAGCGAAAATTAAAAAAATATTAAACTGACCAAATATAATAGAAGAAACGGGGACTATCAATATATAGTTAATTAAAATGAAGTATCTTCCAGTTAGGAGACTAAAACCCTAATAGTCAACTTCAGAATCACTCAATTCGATTCTTTGACCTTCGATTTTCAATTTTAATAGATCAAAATTTGTCAATTTCGCTAGGTTTCATGAATGCATCCGCGGTTAGTGCTGTTTTATGTTTTAAGGGCATTTTATGTTCACATGTATCGTTTTTTCATAATGCAACAACGTTCCGTTCATAGTTTCATTAATTTGTTAAAAAATACTCCCTCTGATCCTTATTATAAGGTTTTTTAATTTCGTCATATGTTTATTCTAAAATGTCTTTTTACTTGGAAAAAAACCTTAAAAACATATTTTCACATTCGTTATATTTTCTTAATTATTATGACATATTTTTAAAGTTTTTATTTCAATTAAAAAAGCATTTTATGTAAAACCTAGAATGAAATCAAAATGCCTTATAATAAGGACAGGAAGGAGTACTATATAAAGGCAACATCAACAAGAATGCAACAACTTTTCTCACATGTTTAGGATTCGTTATTCACAGTTATTCCTTGATGTAATTGACTTTATCACTTGCTACTTCGTTTACAAATAAGGGAACATCTCCATATACTCAAAACAAATCACTAAACAGGACCTCTATTTGTAGCGAGGGAGTATGCAATTAATTTCCAGTGGATTTAAATTTTAATCTTTTACCAACAAGGGTTTTGCTTTGCCCGCTTAATGCACTTTTGCTTTTTACCAGAAAACGGGGAATGAGAGACTATTTTCAAGTCCCAGCTAACTTATAAAATATTCAAAGGGTATACCGAAGAGCTATTTTATAAGTCAATCAGTGCTAGATGATACAATGCACCCAAGGGGTCTACTCAAAGGATGAACATTTATATCACCTAATGACCAATACTTTCCGACTCCCAACCACAAGAAACATATGGAAGGATAGATCATTATACCAAAGCTACATAAAATCTCAAGAAAAGGAATCAAACCATTATGTAATTTCCACAAGAAAAAGGAGATACGAGATGGTACCAACTTATGCGAAATATTTCCAAGCATATTATCTTTTTGTTGCTTCCTTTGTAAGGCTTCATGCGTAGCTTTGACTGAGAAAAGACCATGAGAGGAGTCTTGCCACACCAATATGTCTTCTTCAGTTGAGAAAATAAACTCCTCATTCTCTAAGGCTACCAAAGCCGCCTGCCCTAGAGAAGCTGCAAATTCCGCCAAATACAAAACCCGGCCTTCAAAGAACTCTCGGATAGTGAGTTTTGGAGATGGCGGCTAGGGTGAATTCCTACCCACAAGATGCCGCATGATGCCCAATTATCGAACCAAAAGGACCTATCCCCTCCTCGAACAATTACCTTGGAGAGA